TTATTTATTTATTATGTATACAACACTCTGCTTCCATGTATATCTGCACACCAGAAGAGGGTGCCAGATCTTATAACGGATGGTTATGGGCCACCATGTGGTTGCTGGGGATTGAACTCGGGACCTTTGGAAGAGCAGTTGGTGCTCTTAACCCCTGAGCCATCTCTCCAGCCCGATTTCTTACCTTTTAATGTAGAAACTGACACAAATCCAGAAATACAAGAGCTCATGACAAAGAGAAATTGTCACTAGCTTCGTGGATATGGAGATCTACTTATTTGGAGGCAGGGAAGGCCTGGTCGTGGTGGACACCCATGGCCAGCAGCTTAGAACTTTATTTGTGATGTCTATATAGCCTAGCTCCTTTCAGGGTCTCTGAAAAAGTATATAGAGAACAGAACAATTACAAACAACAGTTTTAATATAGCTCAGTTGGTAGCATGTTTGCTTAGTGTGTATAAGGCCCAGGGTTCGAGGTGTGGGGTTCATTCTTCAGTTCTTCATAAACCTATAAAACCCAGATACAGCAGCACCTGCCTAAACCCAGCAGGGAGATCGGAAGTTGAAGGCTACCACTACTGTATTGAGAGTTCAAGGTGAGACTTGGGCTACATGAGACCCCGTGTCAAGACCAAACACAACCACAACAGTTTCAGATAGTCCTGATGAGGCAGGCCTGTGGTCAGGTGGTAACATTGGCAGCTGAGGCAGGAGGGTTGTGAGTTCTAGGCCAACCTGAGCCTGCCTAATAATATCCCATCTCCAAAAGGAAAATCAACAAAACCCCAAACCAAGCAAAGAAACAAACAAAGTAAGAGTTTAGGAGGAAAGTAGTAGATCCAATTTAAAATAAGGACAAGTCATGGCTTCCCTTTAGCAGGTAGGACTAAAGCTTTCTGACAGGGCAGATCAGTCTGCCAGAGGAAAATGGGAGGAAGAATGCTGACCTTTACCCCATACCTGGAGACCAGGAGAAGATAAGAGGGGAGGATGGCAAACAGTCTGTACTGTAAACACTGGAGACACCAAGCCACAGTTGTTTCTGAGCTTCAGTGGGATTTTCTGAGCTGAATTCATAGGAAGCAGTAGTCTATGTTTTTTGGGCACATTTCCTGCTTTGTAGCACATGAAAATATTCATGTCTTCTGAAATTGTTATTTTCTGTTTTGGTCCTAAACATTCACGAAAGGAAATTTACTTCACACCCTCCCCATGCCTGGGACTTGATAGTCACTTCAGTCTTTTGTTAAGGCACAAATTTATTGTGTAGTGAGAGGGAGAATGTGGGTGTTCCTTCTGGAGGAGTGTTTTAGGCATGTGTTTGTATACATACAGACTTTTTTTTAAAAATTTATTTATTAGTTCTAGTTAGGGAACAAGCTTGTTTCACATGTAAGTCCCTTCTCCCTCTCCTTCCCCTCACCCCCATCCCGCATACAGACTTTAATATTTTAGTAGTGTATGTATGATATATATCAAATATATATAGCTTATCTACTCTCTCACTCACGTCGTTTCAGGTACAGAAGGGTTTACAGTGAGAAGCCATTCATTCCTGTTGTTGGTTTTTTTTTCACTCTTGCTCTTTTGCTCTTTGATCTTGCTCTTTTGGGGGCCCGCCACCCAGCTCCCAAATAAATTACACACGGAGAGTTATTACTTAGAAAAGCTTGGCCTTGACTTGGCGTGTTTCTTGCCAGCTTTTCTTAAATTATCCTGTCTACCTTTTGCCTCTGGGCTTTTATATTTCTCTATTTCTGTTTTTCTTTCTTTGCTCCTTTTTCCGAGACTTGCTGTATAGCTCTGAGTGGCTGGCCCCTTCTTTTCTCACTCTTTGATCTTTCTCTTTCTAGAGTTCTTCTTCTATTTATTCTCTCTGCCTGCCAGCCCCGCCTATCCTTTCTCCTGCTTTGCTATTGGCTGCTCAGATCTTTATTAGCCCCAATCAGGTGTTTTAGACAGGCAAAGTTATCACAGCTTCACAGAGTTAAACAAATGCAACATAAAATAATGCAACACATCTTTGCATCATTAAACAAATGTCCCACAGCATTAACAAATGTAACACATCTTAAACTAGTATTCTACAATATACTCCTGTTCATCTAGCCAGAGAACTTTTATCTAGAAACTGCAGCTTTTACCAGTTCCTTAACTCTTCAGAAATAACTTATAGCTAAGTAATTGTGTAAAATACCCCCTAAAAGCACAAATGCTTCATCCCCTGTCCTACACCTGGCCACTTAACCAGCATAGGCAATTTATCTTAGAGATGATTCTTTGTCAGCCACAGAGACCTCTTTCATGCCTGCCAGTGAGTGCAGAGCACTAGTGTTCATTGAAGAATGTGATGTTTCAGTATTCCATGACATCATAGGAAATGCAATTACTGTTACATTCATATTTATTGGTTGATTTAATATAATCATTATTTATGATATTTATTAATGGAGCATGAATATTTTATCAGCCTTCCACTGACATTTTAAATTACTTTCTAACTTGTATGATTTCATACTCTTCTAAAAACATACCATTTGTACATTTATATTTGTAGATGAAAAAAGATTGGGTTAACGTGTATATACATGTATGTATTCTATGCATTTAATCTGTTTTGATATATGTATACAATATATATGTATACAATAATACATTATATATACATATACAGTTATATAGTCAAGCAAATTAGGTTATATATCATTTCACATAGTTGACCTTTCTTTGTATGTGGTGGTGGGGGTGGTGAAATGTTGTCATATATCTCTAGTATACAATATTCTTTTAAAAGGCAGCCCATGAAAGAAGAAATCAACAGGACAAGTTACAAAGATGGAAAATGTGTCAAAGCTACACACAATGGAAGAAAGTACAATTTCAAACCACCTTTTGAAGTCATTTGAGAAACCCTCGTGGCATTTCAGACAGAAGGAGCTGCCTACCCACCTCATGCCTTCCATTCCTATAGCAACTCTGTTCATGTCTCCATTGTTATTAGTTTGTGTATGGGTATATCGTGTGTGTGTGTGTGTGTGTGTGTGTGTGTGTGTGTGTGTGTTGGGGGTTGTACATGCAGCTCACGGCACACATGTGAAAGCCAGAGGATAACTTTATGGAGTTGGTTCTCACCTTCTACCTTTACATGGGTTTGGGGGATAGGTCCCAAGTTGTCAGGGTTTCACTCAGGGCCTCTTTACTCCCTGAGCCATCTTTCCTGACCCTCATCTTCTTTAAAGAAATGTTTATTGTGTGTATGTGTGTTAAGTGCATTTGCACTCCTGCACTTCTCTGACTCAGGCCTGGTGGTCAGAGAACAGCTTGCAGGAATCCATTTTCTCCTACGTGTGAGTCCCATAGAATGAACACAGGCATCAGGCTTCATCTACTGGTCCCAGTACACTTTTGTTAAAGAATTACTTATTTTTATTTTATATCTTACAATTGTTTTTGTCTGCATATGTGTATGTGCACTAAGTGTGAGCTTGGTGGCCAGAAGAGTGTGCCAGATCCCTTGGAATTGGAGTTACAGATGGTTTCGAACTCCATATGACTGCTGGGAACTGACTCTGGGACCTCTGCAAGAGCAATAGGTGTTCTTAACCACTGACCCATCTCTCTAGCCCCTCTTTTGTATTTTTTTAGTGGGGAGGTGAGAGCTGTGGCATATGTGTGGAGGTCAGAGGTAAATTTACAGTCGTAGCTCTCTCCATTGACTGTGTAGGTCCTGGGATTGAACCCAGACTCTCAGGCTTGGTGGTGAGTGCTTTTACCTGCTGAGCCATCTCACTTGACCCAGTATATAATATTCCTAACATGAACTAGAATCCCGAGCTGTAAAACCCTTCCTAGACTTACTCATTTTAAACAACTTCCTGTTGTGTGAACTGTGCTTCCATTTCTCCTTGCTCTCAGTTCTACTACTGTAGATGCTGCTAAAATGTCACCAGTGAAAAGCACTTTATTGACCATGTTTTGTTATTCACCATTGTAAAAGGTTTAAGAAAAATGCCTATGTTACTTAAATTGAAACAGTGTTGGTTACTTTGTTGGTATGTATGGGAACCCCTTGTAATCCCTTTTGTGTGTGCTGTGTGAGGGGCTGGGTACCATTCCCCTGCTGAGCCATGTTCTCAGCCCCAGTCCTACTGCCAATAGCATCTCCTTATCTTTGTATAAGATGCGTCTGATAGGCTTGTGGAAGTGCTGCTGTCCCCCTTCGTTATCATGGGTTTTAGGTGTGGAATTATTGCTTGTTTTGTCATAGGGATTGTGCTCATGTGTCCAGTTCATCCTCTTCTTTCAAACTGTCTGGGAAGTTTTAAGTTCATGAGCATGAAGTGTCCAGTTTATCCTCCAAGTAACCGGGCAGCTGTGACGTGTCCTATCTACTGTTCTCACATTTCTCCACGAAGGACATTGCATCATTCTATTTGGGGCTGCTGTGTGTTCACGTCTCCCCACAGGTCACTGCCCCTGTTTTTGTGGATGTGGCTGTGGAGTTCACTTTTGCTGGTAATTGCCTGGCAGGTACACATTGGCTCTTAGTAGACCTAGTTGGTTTATCTTGTACATCGTAAGTACTCCGGTGGATAAAACATTTTTCTAAAGTGCCGATTATGTGTCTGTTTGTAGGGGACATAACAGACAAGTTCCTCCTATGTGGACTCTGATTGGAGTTAGTGCATATAATGAATGTAATCTTAGGTGGATGGTCATGGTAACTGTGTATTTGTATATGTGAAAATATAGGGTTACATTCTTGCCTAAGATAATTACCAAAATTTGGTGAAAAGCTCCTTTTAAGTAGCCAGGTTTACAAACCAGAGACCTAAAGCCTCACCGGCGCCTTTGTTTCCCTTACGAATGTGCTTCTGAATTTGCCCAAGAAACAGAAATCACAATGATGTTGATAAAGTTCGGATCATAGCATGGGAAGCAGGAACGAGACATCGAGTATGTTGATGTACTAACAAAGCATTCTTTTCTTTTTCTCGTAGATCTGTCTAAAAACAGGCTGGTGGAAGTGCCAATGGAACTGTGCCATTTCGTATCACTGGAAATTCTTAACCTGTATCACAACTGTATACGAGTCATTCCCGAGGCCATTGTTAATTTGCAGATGCTAACCTACTTAAACTTGAGGTAGGTTTACCTGGGAACTTCTGATTATGTGCTTTTAGGGACCAGCACAAAAACATGATTCGTTCATCAATCATCTCTACCATTCTTGATCATTTTTGTGATTAAACCACAGGAATATTAAAGATGCCCATTATCTTAAATATGTACAGCTCTTCCTATTGCTCTCGGTGCTGGACTTCCCCACATGTCAGCAGGGCAAGGTTCTAAAAGGATAATGACCTAGCATCATTGTGTCTTCTCTCTGACTGTGTGTATAAGGATGCTAGTATGTTGTTTTCAGGAATTCATGTAGGAGGGAGGGAGAAGAATGACAGTTGAGGCATTTCAAAAGGAAGGGAGGTAGCCATTCTTTGTGAGTTCAGTCACTTTAAGAAAATTGTGGAGGGCCTGGGTGTGGTGTGGTCCATGCCTTTAATCACAACACTTGGGAAGTAGAGGCATGTGAATCTCTGGTCTACATACTGAGTTCCAGAACAGCCAGGCCTACAGAGGGAAACCCTGTCTTGAAAAACCAACATAAATCAATAAATAAAACAAAACCAAAACAAACAAGAAAGGAAGTTGTTGAGGACCCCTGAGGTCTCTTGCCAGATGGACAGCTTGCCTTCTCAATTAAACTAAGCTAGTGCTTGCTGCGAATGCCTTAGTCTCCCTTGGATAGCGTAGTGTAACACTTAGTGCTGCAGACTAGCTCTAGGGTTTCAAGAACATTGATTCCTTTACAATTTTGGTTTTAAACTTTGTAGCTGGCTGCTCTAGTCAGATTCTGGCTCCGTGTTCCCTAAATCCTTTCTGACACTAAGGATTTCGGGAGAGAGGGTAGAGTTATTTTAGTCTTTCTATCCTAATGAAAACAGGCTCCCATGTTCAGCCCGAATCTTTTCTCATAACTTGAGCATCTTGGTGTATAATTAATTAATTAATTAATTAATCAGCCAGGTTCATGGTGCCTAACAAATACATCCAGTTTTATAGTTCAAATTCCCAACAAACCAGCTACGGCAACTCTTTATAACAGATAATAACACCAGTGCTTTTGTTGTTGTTACTTTTCTTTTGGTTTTGCTTTTTGTTTTAGTTGGCTCCTGAAAAATTAGGGGCCTTTTGCTTTCTTTGTAGCCAAAACAACAAAGAGGGCTTCCATCATATTTTCATAGGAGTGCATGTTATCCCTCAGGGGAAGAAGCATTCCTAGGAGTAGTTGTCATTGGCTTTAACTTATTTTTTTGAAAATAAAATGTAGGGTGCTTCTAAGTTATCTGCAGGTTCATCTGTCTGATTGTCAGTTCTGCTGGCTCCTAGTTCATCTGCAGTTGCAGGCTCCTGGTCCATCTCTCCAGCATCATTTTTCTTGCAGCTTTGCCACAGCAGGAAGCTTGCTCCCTTGGACTTTCCTGGGAACCCAGACAGCATTGTTTGTAGATTTTAGCTCCTCGATTTCCCAAAAGGTTTTTTTTTTTTTTTCTCATAATTTGTTTTTGTTGCCAAAGCAGATGCAGCTCTGTTCACTTACTCATTTTTGTCCTGTTACAACACTTTTTTTTAACCCCAGTAGTTAGCATGCAATACATATGCATTATTATACATAACAATACTCATAATCAATGTAACTTCATGTTGTTCTAGTAAGTCCATATGCACCAAGAGCTTGGGGGCATAGTTGACTATAAAATCCTAAGAACACTTTTGATCTGTTCTTACATTTAAAAAAATGTTTTTTTTTTTTTTTTTTAATGAGTTGTAGGTTGTACTTAATTGAGAATCGATTATTGCTGTCTTCAAATGAATGGAAAGAATGTGATAGAGTGTGAGCCTGAGAATTCTTTAAGACAAGGAAGGGGCTGGAGGCTCTGCAGTTAAGGGCACTGACTGCTTTTCCAGAGGACCAGGGTTCAATTCCTATCACTCACATAAGGGCTCACAACTGTCTGTAACTCTAGTTCTGGGGATCTAATGCCCTCTTCTGGCCTCTTTTGGCACCGGGCATGCAAGCATTATACAGATACACATGCAAGCAAAAGACCCATACACATAAAATAAAAGTAAATTATAAACTTTAAAAAAGACAAAGTTGTTGGTGATGGCAAGTAATGCAGTTGGCATTCTGTGATGAATTCCTACATATGGGATAAAGAAAGAAATGAAGAGATTGTTAAAATTGCTTTCTGTCTTTCAACAAGATGTCTCATCTCCCAGTTGTATTGGTAATTTTTAAATTTTGTCTGTTTTTGTTTTTCCACATTTCCTACTTTGAATAATAACATGGCTGAGACTTATTCTCTTGCACTGAACCATGTGTTCTTTGAAGGAACATGATAGGAGAGGAAAAAAATTAAGAAATAGTATGTCTCTTATCGCTCAGGAGTTTAATGTTGGGGCTTATAAAACTAATGTGGTTAGCTTCCAAGCTGTTAAAAAAGCTAGATACTAACTATTATTATTTTATTTCATTAAATTTTAAATTTCTTTTGTCTGGGGGGAGTAGTGTGTGCCATGACATGTGTGCAGAACTAAAAGGGCAACTTATGGCACTCAGTTCTCTTTTTGCCTTGTGGGTCCTGGGGATGGAATTTGGGTCCTCAGGCTTGGTGGCAAGTGTCTTTCTTTACCCCATGAACCATTTTGAGAACCCAAAATAATAGTGTCCTAGTTTGTTGCGATAAACCTTTCTGACCAAAAGCAACGTGGGGAGGAAAGGGTTTATTTGGCTTTCAGCGTAACTGTCTATTGTTTAGGGAAGTTGGGTCTAAAGCTTGAAGCAGGAACTGATGCAGAGGCCATGGAGGGGTGCTGTTTACTGGCTTGCTCCCTTGCTCTGGTGGCTTGCTCAGCCTGCTTCTTGTTTGTTTGTTTTGTTTTGTTTTGTTTTTTGGTTTTTTGAGACAGGGTTTCTCTGTGGCTTTGGAGGCTGTTCTGGAACTAGCTCTTGTAGACCAGGCTGGTCTTGAACTCACAGAGATCCACCTGCCTCTGCCTCCCGAGTGCTGGGATTACAGGTGTACGCACCACTGCCTGGCTAGCTTGCTTCTTATAGAAACCAGGACCACATGCCCAGGTGCGGGAACATCCTCAGTGAGCTGGGCCCTCTCCCATCAATTATCAATCAAAATGCCTCATGGGACTCGTCCACAGGCCAGTCCCGTGGTGGCAATTCCTCAGTTGAGAGGTCCTCTTCTCAGGTGACTCTATTTTGTGTCAAGTTGACAAAAACTAGCCAGCATAAGTAGTTACTTTTGATACCTCCTATAGAAGTTAGTCTGGATATGAATATGTAAAGAAGAAATGATGATGAGAGCGAGTTTTGAAGAAGCCAAGAAGTAGGGTTATATTAAGTTATTCAAATAGTCTTTAATTCCTGCTTGATTAAAAGATTCAGGAACTGTATCTGCTAGGAACCGGTCCCTTAAGCTTGAGTTACTTCTTGGCTTGGGAGTGATTTGGGTAGAATTTATCTTAGCTCTTGCCTGAGAGTTTTATTTGTAGTTTTTGAAATAGTAGGTGACTGCCGTGTCTGTTTACTTGCAAATATGTAATCATCTAGACAATGCCGTTGGCCTCCTCTGTGATGTTGAGTAATATCACAACCCTTGTGTTGTCTGCTGTCTGTGTGACATTTTCCTGACTCAGACTGGGCCCCACTCCAGCTGGATGGAAGCTAGTAACTGGAAGAACTCAGGAGGCCATATTTGGGTGACAGCTTTAAAGAAAGGTGGTGGTGGGGGTTACCTACTTTTTAATAAAATTTAAATATTCATTTGTTTGTATATGCGTGGAACAGCTTGGGAGAGCCCATTTTCTCATTTCACCACGTGTGTCCTAGGGATTGGGTTTATTAGGCTGTCAGGTATGGTAGATGGCACCTCCTCGGAGCCATTTTAACAGCCCTGGGTTCATCTCCTTTATACGAAACTAAAGCATTTTCTTTTCTGTGGTGTTTGGCACTTGCTAACACATACACACACACTCTCTCTTTTTAGCTAGGAAGAAAGACTTTTTAGATGAAGTAATGCAAAAATGTCTTCCCAGATCTCGTTTCTGTGCTTAAAATGAAGCCCCCATGCTGTTGTGTTTCGTGATAGTAGGGATGAAACCAGGGCACTGTACATGGAAAGCTATGCTCCTGTGTGGAACTCTAGCCCTATTCTTGCTATATTTAGAATCCCTCCCTTTCTTAATAAATTATATTCAGGAATTACTAATTTTGTACATTCTAAAATAGAAAAGATTCCATTTAAAGATACTTTGAATTTATGGGAAATGTTCAAAGTTGGTTCCATCCCCTGAGAAACATGTATATTTTAGCAGTGTAAACAGCTATAAAGATTTGAGAATGGTCATGGTGGTGATGATGGTGGTGATGGTGGTGATGATGATGATAAGGGGCAGGGACATGTAACTGCTTAGCCAGGTTCTTGGCTGGCATACTTTCTTCCTTATATTATCTTCAATTTTCAATGGCTGCTTTGTGCCAGGAATCCTCATGTCTTCTCAAGAGACAGGATTAATTTACACACAAAAACATCCTCACCATGTACTGTAGTTAAAAACATGAAGTTGTTTTCCACATTCTCTCAGATGATGGAAATATAATACTTGTGGAAAATATTGATTTATTGCTATTTATGTAGCCTGCGTTTGAAGCATCTAGCTTCTTTTAATCTTTGCTTCTTGCTGTTCACAACCAAAGGTTGTATTAGTTTAGTGAATATGCCCCTGCCTTCCTGTTAGAAAATGTCTTTGTCCAAGAAATGTAGCCAAGAACAATAAAAAGTGATTCAGCAAGCCTCTTGCTGTATAGCAACAAACACTTGGAACCGGAAACGCACAGAGAAGCCTAAAGTCTATTTTAAATGTTTGGAAAGGTGTTAGTGTTCCAGAGGAAACTAGAATAGCCCAGAGGAGCAGAGGGCCGGGCAGCAGTGAGTGTTGTGACTCTTAGAATGGAGAGCAGAGGGGGCTTATCTCAGAGAAGTTTGGGGATGGAGGCATCAAGAAGGAAA